GCACCTCCAGAGCTTCTTCTGAACACCGATGCTATAAACTACTCATCTCACCGGGTTTTACTCCCCAGAAAGCAAAGCTACATTCCAGAGCCTCCTCCAAGCCAGGACCTAAATACAATTATTATTTGAATTATAAACAGGGAATAATGCAGCAGTGTTAAGTGTGCAAAATGTCATTTATTGGAGCCCTTTCTAGGAGGGTTTGAGGAGGGAGCAAGCAGAGGGTGTGCTCCTCCAGGAGAACTACAAGGGACAGATGCTGTCCCAGACTTTACCCGCCAGCTCCCTCCTCCAACCCATTTTGTTTGTCTCAGGCCCTTTCCAAAGAGCCATTTAAGGCTCCAGCCTTTTGTAGCACATTGCCAGTAAGATCAAGTATTTAGCACGGCCTCTCTCAGCTTTTTATATAGTGCCTAACACTGATATCTAAGCGTTATATATTTCTTTTTGCACAGTATTTCTGACTCAGTATTTCCTGCCTCCTTGACAATGACCAAGTAAACAGCAGAGCTGACAGAGGAAGAGCCCTGTGTTTACAGAGCAACAAGCCCAAATGTGTCTTTTTTTTTTTTTTTTTTTCCATCAGAAGGTGGCAATGCTTAAATTAACCCTCATTTTTATTCCACGCTAAACTTTTGCCCTCTAACTTGCTGCTGACGGAGTCAGCCGTGAGTTGGTGGGCCTGGATCTGGGGAAAAGTTATTTGGGACTCGTCTTTAAAAAAGTGTGATGAACTCCCAAGGGATGAGTTTTCAGCTGCAGCTGTCTGGGCTGGAGCGAAGGCTTAGATCCGATGGCAAAATGCTGCTTCTCATCCCGCTTGAGTCTGCTGCCCACCAAAAATGGCAGAGGATGGATTTTCTTTCTCATCCATGGAGTGGCCAATCCTCTTGGCTCTTCTGGCTTGGTCCTGGTCTTGGAAAGGTCTCATGTCTGGGCCAAGAAAGGATAGCACTGCATGAGCTGCATCTACACTGAGGTGAGGAGTGGGCTTTCACTTGGGTGCGAGAGTGGAGAGCCCCAGGATAAAGGCATTTTCTATTTCCATTGCTGGCAGGAGCTTCAGCCAAACTTCAGTTCATCCCCAACAGGGCATGTCAGAGGGTGGGCTGAGCCGTGGCCCATCTCTGTCATGTGTGAACACGGGCCACCCCGGACTTACTGAGCCTCACCATGTGTGATGAGTGTGATGAACGTGCTTAGCCTTCAGGATTATGCCTCAAGCTTATCTTGTATGAAATTTCTTTAGAGGTCCTCTTGGCATCCCCCCACTTGCCACATGGTTTCCCAATGAACTCTTCTCCCAAACCAGGCAGAGAAGGGAGGTCAACCCTGCTACCTGGTATAAATACATTTTATTTTAAACTATAGGCACTGAAGGAAGGTCATCCAGTAAATGCACCCGGATTATCTACAGGCAAGGGCACCCCAAATTAGTAATACAATTTGTGTTTAAAAATACAGCCAAACTGATGAAAGATAATTTGCTTGCTGCCCTGACATCACCACCTAAGCATGGGGCAAGCCAATCCACAGGTTATTTTTATATAACTCCGTGAGGCATTTCCAGAGCAAATAAAGTTCATTGGGCAGGGCAGTGACCCGGCCGGCCAGTTTCAGCACTCCTCAGCCTCCTCAAGGCTTCTCATCGGTGGTGTGGAGGTCTGCGGGTCAGGGCACAGCTCCATCGGATGTGCCCCGGGCACGTGGGACGTGGGTTTTGTTCTCTGCTGAGCCGTTCTTCGCTGCCGGCCAGCTCTTCACCTCTCCCACGCTGTTAGTCTGGCTCATCCGTTTTGGTTGCTCACCCTTTGGAGAAGCGATTGAGTTGCTCTCCAGATTCTCCATGCCAGGTGTGATGGGTCACGGGTCCTGCTGGAAGCATGGGCAATGTGCAACCAGGTGAATCGCACCCTTAACTCCGTTGATCAAATTACCTACATGACAGCAGTGGTCTCCTCAAACATGGACACCGCAAGGGAAGTGGGACACCTCTGCATGGGCAGCTTGCCCATCTGTGCATGCCATGGTGCTGGTCAAACCTGCTGTCTGAAGGCCAAATTTAGGGACAAAGCTCCCTGAGCCAACTTCCTCGTGTATGCCATGACACTGGCGTAGCATCGCACTGCGGGGCCAAAGCAGATGGGTATCTCAGGATGCTTCGGGAAAGCCCTGGCACTGAAAGTCTGTCTACCATGGAGGTTCAGCTCCTGGCAAGCCCAACTCTTGCCTGTAGGCAGGCATGGCCCCAAAAACGTAATTCCTACCTCTGGCAAGATGCTTTTCCTACTTCGTCAAAGGTATCGGTATCCCCCCAGCTTTTGCCGAGTGCACGCAAACAATTTCCTTTTGTGAAATTCGGCTCAATGGAGCAGAGTTACTCCCGCTGCGGTATCACCTTCTGGGTGAAAATGTTCACGGTGACTTTTGCATCCATCCCACTTTCCATCCCCTGCTCTCGTTCTTCATGGGGGTCCATCAAAGCCTGCACAAGTTTTTTTGTGATTTGGGGGGGTTGGGAGAAGACCCCAGTCCCTTTTCTTTTGCAAGGGTTTTCTTCAGCTGTAAAGTTGGGGGCAGAGTGTTCATTGATGTCTCTGCTGGGTGGCATCACCCCCCAGGTGCCATAGGATGAAAAAAGAGGGTGCTGGCTGGTGGCATCCCTTCCTGCCCAGCTCCTGTCCCAGGCCTGATGAGTTTGGTTTGGTGGTTGTTTTATGGAAACGTTTTGGTTGGTTGGTTGGTTTGATGGGCTTTTTTTACAGAAAATATTTTTTTTTAAAGAGAAAACGTTGAAGAGTCAGTTTTCTCCCTTGCAAGGCTGCGGAGCAGGGCGATGTGTTTGAGGTGGGAATGGGAAGGAAGAGAGTTTCCTGCGGTGGTTTTCATTCTTTCCCAGTAATCTGGGACCGCAGAGCCCATGTGGTTATCCTGAGCTGCTAGGAATTTCCCAGCATGCCCCAGGGATCCCAAAATACGGCCGGGCTCCCCAGGTGCGTCAGTGTGGACCTTCCCGGGCAGGACAAGGGGGCTGCTGGGGGGCATCCAGCCTGCGATGGGCCGGTTGGCTCGGGGGCTAGAGCCAAGGGGATGCTGCATGAGATGCAGGAGGGATGGAGAGGTCTTGGGGCATCAAGGAAGAGCTCCAGGGTTCAAAGGGTGCTTTTTGTCCCAGGGCAGAGGTGGCTGGTGGGTGGACGAGGCTGGAAGTCCCTGTCGCTGCAGATGAGAGGCACGGGATGCTCTTCCGTGCTTTTTTTAATTCCTCAGTAGTCAGGATGTCATTTCTCTTTGACTTTTTTTTAATTAAAATTCAAGTGAAAACTCCAGAACGAGTAATTTGGTAACCCTGGGGTGATAACCTGAGCTGGCAAATAACTCTCTCCTCCATCACCGCCCTGGGACTGGCTGGATAATGAAAGGACGAACTCTACAAACTCCCCCAGAGAGTCTGAAAGGACCCAACAGGATTTGGCTGCAGGTTGACTTCGGAGTCGCAGACACAGTTGGGCAATTGCCTTATAGAAATGGGTGTAGAGAGGAATTAGTCATCACTGTTAGGTTAATACGTGCCTCAGTTATTTTACAAGTCTTTTTCCTGCATATGCAAATATATTATTTTTTTTTCCTTTTGTAATGAAACATATAAATAGCTCCCGTCTTGGATCTTCTGTGCATACGGTTGTGTCATGAAAATAATCATCGTGCTTTTGCCTGGCTTTCTTTAGCGACTGCTTTACTTACCTTTGTTTCAAAAGAAACATCTCCCGTGTGTTGTCCAGGGCATGAGAGCAAACTTTGGTGTGGTGGCTTTTACAGCTCCCTGGTTTTGCAGAGTGCAGCTGCCGCTCGGAGCATTCGCAGCAGCAAAGCCCTTTGTCTCAGGCAGCAGGGATAAACTGAGATGTAAAAGATATAACATAATTTATTTAGTTGCTGGGTTTCAAATGTTGTGCAACCCACACTGGGAATACATGGTGTTGAGAATGAACTTGTCCTGTTCTTTAATTTTCCCCTACTTACTGTCTACTAATTTTTAATAACGAGGAAAGGTCACTATGGAGACAGACAAGCAAAGTCGCATGGGACATCTTGCGAGAAGCTCTGCAGCATCGCTGAGAGCCCGGGGAAACCCTCTTGGCTCTGAGTGCGATGCACTCTCTTGTGCCGTCCTCTAGAAAGGTTTTTATTTGCTTTTCTATGTTGTCCCTTGCTCTTTGCCACACGCTCCCAACACACACATCCCTTTTCATATCCTGCCTTTGGGCAAACCCCTTTTTTTCTCCCCAGCTGGAGGACTGATGGGGACGCAGCTATCTCCCTGCACGCTTCCTCCTGATGTTGCTCCGTAAATCACGTCATTCGGATAATCCTTGGTCATGGCAACCATCAGCTCAGGAGCAGGGTGACCTTTTAATGCCAAGCCCAGGCTGCCCTGATCTTCTTCTGGGCGGGCAGGGAGCCAGTCTCTGCTGTAATTTTGTGAGACCTCAGGGAGCAGACAGGCCATTAGGATGCCCCTGGCCAGACGCTGGGTCTGCTGAAGATACTGGAATGAACGGGCTGAGCAGGTCCACCTGGACCACCAAGCCCAGAACGGCCACCAGCATTCATTGTGTTTCCCCTGCATTTCATTTAACCTCTTTGTTGCGGCTTTTATTCGATCTTGGTTGTGTATGTGGAAAAAAGTCCCTGTGTCTGTCCGAGGGGGAGGGCAGGGCACGGGGGACGCCATCTCTAGCGCAAGCCATGACAGTTATTGCAGGGGTTGGTGATATTTCTACAGTACCTGCTTTCTGGTGGCTTTGCTGTGTTGAAATTCCAGCCACTCCGCGTGCGTTGAGTAATCTCCCTGCTGTTACTAAAGAGTCAGTCTGTCTGTCTTCCTCCCCCCACCCTGAGTTTCAATTTCCTCCTAATTCTCTCTCTAGACAGCCGTTGCCTCTCCCATGGCGATGCGGTTTTGCTGATGCAGCCTGTTGTCTCTGTCCCTCTTGCAGAAGGATTTCACCATGCGGGAGGAGTTGCAGCAGCGGGACGTGGAGCGTTGGCTGGGGTTCATCACCTTTCTCTGCGAAGTCTTCGGCACCATGAGGAGCAGCACCGGAGAGCCCTTTCGAGTCCTTGTCTGCCCCATTTATACCTGCCTCAGGGAGGTAAATGCCTTCAGAGTTTGTCCTTCTCTGTCTGCGGGCCGAGCCGTTGCGTTGCAGTGCTGAGGTGCCCACGTTTCGTAGGTATTTGCTTGATGATGCCTAGAGGTTTGCTTTGCCAGCATCTATACTTCTCACCCCAAACGCACCTACATCTGCAGGGATGCTTGGATTTTCCTGCATGTTGTGTTTCTGCTAATTAAAAGCACGTGCTCCAAGCAAGACACCTTTGTCCAAGGGTTTGCAAAGCCCAACAGTTGGGATTTCAAACCCAACATTTGAGTTTGCAAATCCCAACGTTGCAAAAGTCCCCACCGAAGGGGCTTGGAAAGCTTCTTAAAAGCAGGTGAAGCCACCTGAATAGGTGAGGTGGACTGAGGGGAGGAAAGAGGGAGAGAGGTGAGGTCCCATACGTCCTTACTTCCCACCTAGTGCAGCAGAAACCCAGCCCTGCCACCAGGATTGGGGACATTTCAGAACCTGAGCTCCTGAGCTGCCCATGGTTCAGGGTGGTGGCATAAATCTGGGTGAGGACAAACAGAAAAGGCAACTCAAGTGTTAATGTTCAACAGAGCGGGAGAGGGCTTTCCCCCATCCTGTTTTAAAGATGGTTTTGTCTCCTGCTGCTGTCTGTAGAAGGCTTTCTCAGAAAAACCTGCCTCGTCGCCCAGGGTTAGAGCTGTGAATCTCAAATTGTCACTAGTGCTTCTTGTCGGGCCGTAAATAACTTGCTGCAAAATAAGTTCTCTGCTAGACCTTGGGCAAGGAAACTGCCAGTGATGACTTTTTTACACGCATGGGAAGTTTTCCCTGAATGCAAACACATCATAAAGATTTTGTCTTTGCAGTAATATTGTGGGTAGAGTTCACAGACGGTGACTGTAGCGGTGAGAAAGAGTCCGGGCATCATGACGAGGCACACACATCCAGAGGAGGAGGTGGGAGAGAGATGCTAAGAATAGCCTAACTTCCCCCAAATGTCTGCCCACAGTGGTATGTGTCACCTTATGGGGAAGATCTTGGTGTCTAGCAAAGTCCCCGTTCCCCTCAGCTTCCCATCACAGTTGTGACACAACCCAGCCCTGATTCTGCCAGGATTTTTCCCTGCCCACTCCTGTCTGCCCTTGCTGTGCCGTCACAGTCCCTCTTGTCACCTTGCTGGTACGTGGGGACAGGGTGGCGATCTAGAGGTGCACGGAAGGACATGAATTTCACATGTCAGCGATATTTTTTGCTACAGGGCAACTCCATAAAAAGCCTTTACTAATTACATCGAGACGTCATGCAGAAATTTGCTTCTTAAAAATACATCTCTCTGTTCCTTAGCAGGACGGCTCTGTCCCCATGGTGGGGTTTGTCAGAGAAGGCGACTCTTAGCTTAGCTGACATGGGTGAGCCTGAGTCTTCCAGCTCTCCTGCCCCAAAATGAGTGGTCTGTGACTGATCGCTCTGCAGGGTTGTGAGCTTGATTCACGCCGTTGCTCTTCGATGGCTCTGGGCTGGGTTTTTGTCTTGCTGTTGTTTCTTGCCACTGTCAGCTACTCCTGTCGCATGGGACAAACCCAGGAGAACAGGACCATCTCTTTGTCAGCAGTGATAGGTGCCAGGCTCTGAGGTGGTTGCCAGAACAAAAGCCAGACTGTAGACACAGCCGAGGAGGTGGTAGTGAGCTCTTCCAGCTGCACCCAGGAGAGGACAGGGACATTTGTGCAGGCTGGCCCTGCCGGGTGCTCCACGAGATGGTGGGAACTTGAGAGTAGTACAGGGTGCTCATCCCTTGGTGAGCTTCATGAAGCATGTGCAGTGGGTTGGTGTCCCAGGGCAGGAGGGGATGTCACCATGGCCCAGCTGGTTTGGGACCTCCACTTGCCTTGGGGCAGGTTCACAAGGTGTAGTAGAGCTCATCATGGTTTTTTTCCCTTCCTGCTAAAAACAGCACATACGTCCCCATGTGCAGTCTCAGCCCCTCGCCCATAACTCCTTCCTCCTTGGGCATCCCCCAGCAGAGCCCTTCCGTGCTCCCTCTGCCTCCATCCACCCATCCTTTGATGGATAAATCATTTCCAGAGGCGAGATAACATCTCTCCCTCTGCCTGTCCTTTCAGCTCCTCTTGCTTTTTAGTTTCTCTGTCTTTTTTTTTTTTTTTCCTTTTTCCCTTTTCCTTTATAGGTTTGGCAGACTCAGCCAAAGGTCAGCGAGGGAGTGAGCAAGAGGAAGGGGAAAGTTGCCTGATGACTGAGGCAGGAACGTCTCTTCCCTTCCCCCTGTAAAGCTTCCTCTCTCCAGCTCCTTTCCTTCCCCCCCCAGTAAAAGCTTATTAAATGCCACCATTAATTGTGGAGCTGGGCTGGGTGGGAGGAAGCAAGGATGGCAGCGAGGACATCAGTGCTGGGGAGTCCAGTGAGGAGAATCTGGGGACGTGGCTGGGACATAGGGTGGCAACGCCAGTGTTATTTATTGAGCGGTGTGGATGTGTTGGTTTTGTGGGCTGGAAAAAAAAAAAATTGAAAGAGAAGTTCATTTCAGGCGAGGCTGGAGTGATAAATGCTGGGGTTTGCTGGTTAATCGAACAAGTGTTCATCACCGTCCTCGGGGACACAGGCTGTGTTTGATGTCAGCCATGGGAACCGGTGTTTAATCATGGCAAAGGAAATTTGGGTCAGAGCTGCCGCCTCACCCGGGCAGTGTTTCGGGAGCCAAGGGAGTGGCTGGGGCCCCTGCCCTTGGCACAAACGTGGACACCGAGCTCCTGTCTCAGGGCTCTGCTGCATCCTCCTCTGTGCCCATCGCCTGAGCACCCTGTTTGGGGCAGGGGGAGAAGGAAGGGTCTACCACCACGTCCAACATGGTGACTGCATCTTCCAGAAGCTGGATCGCCAAAGAATCAAAAAGTTTAATTTCCAGAACCATTCTGAGGGTTTGGGCTGAGATTTGTGCAGGCGGAGGGTGTCTTCACAACAAGGTTGGTCTAGGTCAGCGTTGGGATTTTAGGCAAAGAGATGGTTTGCCAAGAGAACTAAAAGGTGGGTCCAGCTCTCATTAAAATTGGTTTGATGGAGGACAGTGAGTTTGGGTGGTGCTTTGGATTAAAACACTTTTTTTTTCTTGGACATAGTTGAAGTTGGAGAAGGGAAATGGGATACCCAAGCCCAGCCCATAGATCGGCATTGCAGATGGCTGAGGGAAAGGAGGGATTTTTATGGCAACCAGAGGAGAGCCCCTTGCAGATGAGAAGCAGAGGACTATTGCAGCCGTCAAATCTGGGGAGCTTGGGAAAAAAATAACAAAGCAGAGAAGTTAAATAGAAATGAAAGAAAGAGCTTTCCTCCTATTCTTCCCTCGGAGCTTCAGGGAATCGAGGGCGAGCTGGACGAGGGCGTTGTTCCCAGGGAAGGGCTTTCCCTGGGGATGGTTGCACTGCAGCTGGGGCACCGCGGGCTTGGCCCTTGCCTGCTTCCAGCCCTGGCTGTCCTTACATGAGACCAGTGGTGGCATCTTCCAGGACCACGTTCCTCCTCTATTATCCTCCTAGGCTTTTGTCTAGCTCAGTCAAAACACTTCTAGCATTTTTAGGAAATTTTCCTGGCTCCCAGACTTGATGGTCTAAGCAAGAGGGATGTTCCACTGTCTTCTCCCAGCCCTACAGCCATGTGCTCTCAACCCTGGCCTCATTTTAATTCTCACAACCATGCCAAATTTGTCCCTGTACATCTCTTTCTGCCCCTCCAGGATGGTGGGGAATGAACATGCTGACATCCGTGCTGCCCTGAAGCCTCTGCCCCAAGCCCAAACACCAAGGACCACATTCAGCCCCACTCCAACAATACTTCATGTTGCACATCCCCCCAAACCAACTAAAACCAGGACAACAACCAAGGGACTTTGGTTCTTGTAGCCTGGCCATATTTCTTCTTTTCCATGGCCTTTGGCAGAGTCAGCAAAATGTAGAATATGGGTTAAGACCCGGGACCAGCAAATGTCAGCTGAGCCATCAGTGGGGCAGGAACACTCAGGAGCCCGGTGCCTGGTGCAACAAGTGCCCTGTGGCTACTGAAGATGTAGAGATAATAACTCATATTATTTGCCATCTGTTGTTCACTGATTATCACCACTTTTGCTTTTCCTAGCTCTTTCCTAAGCATGGTTGGAGCTGGCTGTTCTTCATCCAGCTCTGTGCTGCCCATGTCTGCTTGTGTGTCAGTGGGGTTGATGTGGACCAACCCAGCTTGCTGCCCTCCCTGCTTCATCGCCTGGTGCTGCTGGGGAGGAGAAGCATTAGGACTGGGTCCTGAGGGACCTGGCCCAGCTCTTGGTGACCATCACCCTGAGGTCTGCAGGGAAGGAAGGAACATAGCCACGTTGGAGCCATGGTCATGCTCTACAGCAGGCAGGACAGATGAGTGGTGTTGCGAGGTTTGGCTCCTCTTGTGTCTCGATCTCATCCTCAGCGGATGTTGTTGGGATGCCAAACCAGGAGGTGCCTCTGGGCCTGGGAGCTGCCACCTTCCTGCCAACCCTCTGCCAGGAGGAGCCGCTTCCAGCCAAGGTGGTTGGTGTCGAGTGCTGCTTTGGATGCATTTGTTTATTTTTATGACGCCATTCAGCAGTCAGACGTGGCTTTACAGCCAGGTAACCTGAGCAGTTGCCTACGGCAGCAGAGCAAGGAGGTGGAAAAACTGGCTCGCGGGACCTAAAGCTCGAGAAGATGCCAGGTGGCGATGTCACTGTGGTCCCCTCAAGGCATCTTGCTGGTTGGAGTCCCACAAGGGCTAGCAACAATGGGTGGGCTTTGCCCCCTCTCCCCCCCCCATAATAACCATATCCCACCCCTTACCCTTGTCCCCAAGATCTTCTGTGCAGGGCTTGTTTCTTACTGAATGTTTAAGGTTCCTCTTGACTCCTTCCTCCAGCCTCTGGATGGCAGCTCCTTGAGCACATAGAGTTGTCCCCGCAACTTGGTGTCATCTACAAACTTCACAAGAGTGTGCTCCTCACCTCCTCT